GGGCCTCAACATGCTGACACACACACGCTGCAGGCATGACGCTACACACACAGATCGAAGACAGCATCTGAGGTGACTTCAAAATATCTTTTATTTCAGATTGCAACTCCATACATGGGATTCCAGGACAAAAATATACATATAAACTGTTTTGGGTCTGGGGCAGGGCCAGGGTTATATCGTTAGTACACACTTAGGTGTCCTGATATGTGACTTGTTGCATCGTGGCACCAGTCCGACAGACGTACCTTCAGGCATTCGAGTCGTGGACAAAACATCTGATTCTGGGAAACCCCTTCGAGCTTCATAAAGAGATGGAGCTGAACCATGAATCATGTCTAGAACCTTTTTAGGCGAGGTTTCCCACCCAGAACCGGCTGCCCCAGTCCCCCTTGACCCAGAACCGGCTGCCCCAGTCCCCCTGGACCCAGAACCTTACTCCCCCAGATTCTTGGACCCAGAACCGGCTGCCCCCGTCCCTCTGGACCCAGAACCTCCTCCCCCAGATTCCTGGACCCAGAACTGGCTGGCCCAGTCCCTGTGGACCCAGAACCTCCTCCCCCAGATTCCTGGACCCAGAACTGTCTGCCCCAGTCCCCCTGGACCCAGAACGGTCTTCCCCAGTCCCTCTGGACCCAGAACCGTCTGGCCCAGTCCCTCTGGACGTAGGACCAGCCCTTGCAGAGGGCCTTCAGGCGTCACCGCACAGCTGAATGTAATGACACAGTGTTCCTGTATTGCTACATGGAGCAGTGTGAGGGGCACAGGGTCACAGACAGGAGGAGGAGTTGCTGTCCTCACAGTCGCCAGTCTACCCAGCACAGAGACAGGGGAATATTGTCATTGACATCAGGGCCTGGTGTAATAATAAACGAGAATATTGTCATTGACATCAGGCCCTGGTGTAATAATAAACAGGGGAATATTGTCACTGACGTCAGGCCCTGGTGTAATAATAAACAGGGGAATATTGTCACAGACATCAGGCCCTGGTGTTATAATAAACGGGAATATTGTCATTGACATCAGGCCCTGGTGTAATAATAAACAGGATAATATTGTCACAGACATCAGGCCCTGGTGTAATAATAAACAGGGGAATATTGTCACTGACATCAGGCCCTGGTGTAATAATAAAAAGGGGAATATTGTCACTGACATCAGTCCCTGGTGTAATAATAAACGGGAATATTGTCACTGACATCAGGCCCTGGTGTTATAATAAACAGGGGAATATTGTCATAGACATCAGGCCCTGGTGTTATAATAAACAGGGGAATATTGTCAT